AGACAGTGCCACTCTGAAAAGCTCATTCCAAAATTTGTGAAGGTTAAGTTAACGAAAAACTGAAACCAGTTTTCAGGTATTTAGTACAAAACCTTGTCGAAACGTTGTACATTTGCTGTTATGTTAAACTTATATTAAAGTTTTTCTTCATTACCCATTCAAGCCGTCTCCAAGCATTATTAGTCTGAAAGTGGGTTCCTCGTCATCAAACATGGTATTTTGGTAGTATAGAAAAGCTATTTCGTCTGTTCTTGTGATTTCTCTCTCTAAAGTGTACATCATGACACATGAAATGTGTAGAAATTTCCTATATACTTTGCTACGATTTTATCATTTTCAAACCTGAATTATAGGCTTCCGTAAGAATGTATATGAGGCATTTATACGTCGATAATTGATATCATGTTTTTATTTTTGAATATTTAAAAATCGCCCTGCCTTGCCACAGTATGCACTCAGATAATTTCTGTAATCATTTTCTAAACGTTACCCATGCAATTTGCCGAGTTACAGGACCATTCGGATGTACTAAAATTTTACGTAAAATCTGGTTTTAGCTACTTCGAAAGCTATATTCATAGAAATAGACATAGATCATGTTATAACATGAAACAATATAATTTATTCTTAATTTTTTCAATAGTTACAGTTTTAAGGTAATTTGTGAACTCAAAGCTATTAGTTATATGGTAAGGGTTATTTCCTGTTAAAGGGCCTAATATATTTGCTAAATATTTGAAAAGATTATACGTGGGTGAGTTAGTAAAACTCACAATTAATCGAAGAGGGGTATTTCTTGAGTTGCGATATAAATGAGTTGTTGTTTGTTACTAAGCACAAAGCTACACAAAGGGCTATCTGTGCTCTTTCCCCACGGGTATCGAAACCCGGTTTCTAGCAGTATAAGTCCGCAGACATACCGCTGTGCCACTGTAGGGCATATAAATAAGAGATATATTCATTTGTTGATCTCAGTTGAGTATCTAGGCGTCATCCGATACCAAGGGGTGTCGTTTTAAATTTAATATGTTAGTTTTTCTTTTATGAGACAGAAGTGAGATGTTTAATTTTTTTTTTCATTAAGATAGAATCACTTGATAAATTATCAAACTTCGTGCGGAAATAGCTGCTTCTCTTCCTCTATCGGCTGATAAAATTTCGATATCATTGTTATTATTCAGTTTGTTGTTAGCTATATGTTCTTGTTTAGTTAAATTTAAGTAGAAAAGGTGGTAAAAAGGTAGACTTCTATTTATAATTTCTCTAACTGTAGTTTATACTTCAGCTTGTCTTAATGTACTTTCTACGGATCCTAGAACGTTTGTAGGATGTATTGTTTCTGAACCAACTGGAGATTATAATCCTTTTGTTAATCAATGAAACTGAGATTTACTTCAAACAACTGTAGAAACATATACTACCCATTGATTATCAAAGGATTTGATTATTTGTATGCTCTGTTTACATATTTTTAAAGTTTTAAAATATCCTTCTTTTCGTGTGTTTTTCTCTTGTTCTTTGCTTTTGAGGTCAGTAATTATGTTTACTACCTTATTCTGATAGTTTTCAATCACGTGATTCACGGAATCAGGAATTCAGGCTTATAAATTCTGTCGACTAAATTCAAGACTATTTCACGATTATAAGAAGATTTCACCGGTGGTTTTAAAAAAAAGCTCTAAGGAACTGTACAAAAGTATTTACAACGGTGATTGAAATTTAATTGCATGTTGTTCAAACCGCACGATTTTTAACCTGGTTGATATTAATCTTCTAAAAAGACTGACCGTTTTTGTCTATGTCATGTACGGATTTTTTGCAGTTACGTGTCTAACACTTGGCAACATAGCAATTTCAATTATTAAAGGTCAAGCTTGACAGTGAGGATAACACATTCCTTACAACATTAAGTTTCTATACTACAGTATTAACAATGAAATTGTATACTGCAAACAACACTCATTTACATTGCTTAATTAATTAATTAATGTACGGTAGAAAGTACTCAAAAGTTTAAATTAATCTATCGTGTTTTGCGTCAAATATTATATTGATAATTCTAACCCTAATTTATCAAACCTTTTTTAAACCAAATTCTTTTGAACTACAACTTTTCACAGAAGATACAATAATTTCCCAAGAAGATTAGTAAAAGTAGATGGAAAAACACAAGATCATTTTCAGTACTTAGTGTCTTTGAAAACAATTTAGAAGATGTTAACAAACAGTAAGCTCAGGGAACTGGATGAATCTGCCTAGTCCCCTACATTTTATCTCACAAACTAAAACGCATATTTAGTTATGCTACCAGAGAAGAATATGACGTTGATTCCACACACTGAACATGATTTCCTTCATGACTACTTCTGCTTGGGTGAGTTTTTAGCTTAGTTGTATCAACAAAACTACAGTAGAAGTAGCGCACAGGTAAAGATCTGAAATAAAGACGTTGGAATGTCCATGAGTGACATTGTAATATAATGTAAAAGTTCGCCATATCTTCTTTTCTTTGTGTTGATACTAAAGTAATCTAAGATTATTACCAGATAATGACTTTAAGTTAATATGCAATTTGTTCACACGTCACTACAGTTTTCATGCCTCTTGTCCTCGTGATGAAATCAACAATGAAATAAAACCTCCCAGTAACATATTGTCAGCATAATACAGTAACTATTGATCACTTTGTTACTGTCTATCTAATCGCCAGTTCTATTTCGTCTGTAGATTTTGTGTTATTAAGCTATTTTTTATATCATTGCCATCTTCTCTCTTGTAGGGAAAATGTAGAATGCATACAATAATATAACTAATAAAATGCACTACAACAGTAATGAAACAATGAATTGTGGACTAATGACACTACAGAGGCGTACGTCATCAAATAGATATCATTTGTGCAAGTAACAAGACACCAATGCTGCCATGATTCAATTTTTCCTATAATTGAAGACTTATTTCATATCTATTGTTCTTTCGCCATTCTTTGGCTCTGGTCCAGCAGTGAGACTCACGGAACCACGACACCTGGTGATTTATGCAACAGAGAAACACATAGTTTATCCTTCGAACCTAAAGAAGCTAATTTCTGGTGAATAACTGCAATGATGGTTGCAGGTTTTCTTCACTTCTATAACTTATTTTATGTTACAACTTTAATTATTGTTGTACTATCCCTTTTTCCCCTAGAGGCGTTTCATGAGTTCACTTGGCAAACAGTAGATGATCTGCAATATGAGGCTTAAATTTTCTTATGGTGATACCGCGGATCTACAGTTTAGTTGAGTTGAGCTCATTGAGGTGCTATAAGAAATCGTGCGTAATAAGCCCATGCATGTGATTAATGTTCCTATGAACGTGAGAGATTATGATCAGGATCTGACATGCAGTATGATGACAGCATTTACTTGTGACCTACCATATTAACTTTTCTTGAATGCTTCAAGATAGAATGCTGGAGGCTGACTTGACCAACAGTGCTTCGCAAACTTCTCCATTAAATATCAAACTTTGCTACTGCTTTCCATGTTCTTAAAAACACTAAATGGTTGGCCACATTACCGAAAATTTTCTCATCTTTTTTTAAACTGCAATATTTTTGAATAAGAATAACTAGCCACAGTTGTCTATTGAATATTTGCAATCGAGGACCAAAGATTTAGTTATCAAAAATAAAATTACACATTTAATTGACCAACTGAAGAGACCAAGCCAGAAGTATAACGTAAAGCTGGCTATTCTTTATTAATTTCCACTGAGTACAATAAGAATGGAATACGATATAAAAATTAACAGATTAACAACTGAAATTAAACTAGAAAGGAAACTGGACTGAGAGAAACTGAACTGTTCAAATATATAGACTGGTCTGGCTGGAGTTTATGGACAGAGTCAGAACCCTAGTTTTCACTAGTAAGAGAAGAGAAGAGAAATATCTCAAGAAAAGCTCTGAACAGCAATTCTCAGAAGAGTAAATACGGGAGTACATTAGCAAAAGTAAGGAATTACAATAAAGATCTCCACTATCATAGCAATGGGGGTGGAGAGTGAAGTTAAGATGGGATAGAAAACACACAGTTCAGGAACAGAACAACACTTCGTTAACTCTCCTGTGACAAGTGCAGAACTGAATAAGTACAAATTTAGAATAGGTATTTAACTAACATATTACATAGGGATGTGAGGTTATGGTAACGTACCATAGACATGTTTATACATTTATCCAAAAATATAAACGCCTTTTTTATTTACGTGAACGGGAACCAACTTCCACAGTAATTGTCATTTTGTAACTTTATGAGTTCTTTTTGAAGTCTGTTTTTGAACTAACAAGCGATTTTACTTGATTGTTTATTAAATTTTAGAATTAATTGAATCTTTAACGACAAAATTATATATACACAGTGAACAAGTAACAATTATTTGAAAAAATAATTATAGATAAAGGTGCTTTGAAATCTATCAGTAATTTAGATACTGTTAAAGCAAAAAGTGACGAAAATATGTATAGTAAAATATGTTACACAATACAAATTAATGTTTTGTAATAAACTAAAGTTAAAAATATTTCTTAAGTTTCTGTGAAATATAAATGTTTCGAAATAATAAAGTCCAAATAAAGGTAAATAAAAATAAAAAACTGAAATTATCAAACCTTTTAACAAGTGAAGCACTTAAAGTTCGAACGTCAAGGCCAAATATTATGAATAAGAAGAAACCCTGTAAAAATGTACACAAAAGTTTTAAAAAATATTAAATAAGTAATTAAGAAGAAACCAAAAATTTACGCAATTTTCTAATATTATTGAAATATATTTTTTAGTTAATGCTCAAACAAACAATCATGGAAAATATATAATTTCGTTTTTAAATGTTATCTCTATTTGTATTTTGTACTGATGGCAAAACTACTAAGGCTATCTGCCGTCTATAATTTTGGGCTATTGACCAGATGGATGGCAGCCAATCATCATCACCGTACCAACCACGTTGAGGAAATGACAGTCACTCCTATAACGCACCTACAGTTTACATTGCGGGGAATATTTCGTGGTATCGAATAGATTCGAACCATATTTGCCAGTCTCGAAATCCTGAGCTCTGCTACAGGGTCAACCTGCGTTCTTAATGTAACCCACTGACATAAAGGTACCTGACATGTGGCCTGGTTTGATGTACCCATACACTTTTTTTATTATTTATCACATTGTTCCTATACAATCTGAAACAAACTATTCCCTTAAGATACTGTGAAAAGCATTTCAATCGCTATGTTGCGATAGTCACAGTGATCAAGAGACTTAATTCCATTTGCAAACTGAGAGCAGCTGTATGCAGGATATAAAGTAAAGAGGGTGTTAACTTTCATTTGGCGAACCCAGTGTCAACAACTTTTGTCAGCTTTTGCTTTGTTGCGCTTTTTTCTTATAGCATTAGCTTCACTAAGTGCGCTTTGCAACTAGGAGATGTAGGTAAGCATGTTAGGCGTTAATAAATAGAAACTGGTAAATATGAAATTTGTTATTATTATTATTTTTGTGTAGCTGCTCTCACTCCAAAGTTAGCACACAAATAAGTGTTTCTTTCAAACTTTTCTCTGCTCGATAATCTGGAAAAGATATGCACTTTGGTGACTAGTAATGCCCACTAATTGAAGTGAGGTCTTTTTAGCAAGTTATAATTAATAAATTATATAGTGGAATGTTTATAAGAAAAATATGATTAAAAGGATAGTTTTTCTAAATATAAATGATTTCCTAGTATTTTAAAATTAATTGAAAGTGAACATAACACTCGATATAAAGTAAATGAAAAAAATTGTGTAGCATATTCAGCAGTCAAAGACAGCTTCACGAAACATAAGTCTTTGAATCAGTGTCGAAAAAGTATATTTTTAGTTCCGAGCTATATTTAACTGCTTCACAAATATTCACAGCTCCACAAGAATCTATACAAAGAAGGCCGGATGTGGCCTAATGGTTAACGAACCAAACTAATAATGCTAAGGTCTATAGTTGGCATCCTGTTAACGCAAAATTGGGCTTCGTACTTTAAGGCTGTGAGTACATTATGAAAGCGACGATCAAATTCAAGTATTCTACTACAGCAGCCAAAATCTTGATTATAAATTCTATTTACTACCTACCATCCTTCTAGTTTATCAGTTCAAAATTACTGCTGACGATATGCATGATATTTTGAAACAAGTAAACAAATCTGTAATTAGGCAAGCCCAAGATACTAACAAATATTTTACTAAAAGCTCTATGAATTATGTCTAATGTATGATGTAGTAGAACATAATAATTAGACATATGTAAAAGTTTCCAAAAAGTATAGAGAGGTTGCATTTGGGGATAATGTTTATTTACTGAGAAGGTTTGGTTGTTTGTTGTTAAGCACAAAGCTACACAATGGACCATCTGTATTGTGCCCATCACGGGTATCAAGACCAGGATTTTAGCATTATAACCCTTCAGACTGAACACTGAGCTGCTGGGAGGCTAATGAGAAAGAAACGTTGAGAAGTTTCAAAAACTGTTAAATGAACTTCTGAACACTATGAGAAAGTCGTGCCTTGCATTTTTAATGAATAATGTTTTAGTACATTTAATACATATTCTAATATATTTAATTTAGTTACTACTTTACTAGGATATATGAGAAACGGTAGAGATATCAATATATACCATTTATTACATTATTTTGTGACAATTTACTGGATCGGAGAAATTATCTTATGTTCTGAAAATGGATTAAAAGGCTTTGCATTGAACGCTATACCTCGAAAACTAGCAGCCTTAAGGATTTTCAGGATCGGGTGTCACCCACTAGTTAGTGTGACAGACTGTAAAGATAAGGTTAAATAGCGCTGTGCACTTTGGTGCTGTGGGTGCGTTATAGGAGTGATGACCAAATCCCACTATTCGATTAGAGAAGCTCAAGAGTTGACAGTGGGTGCTGCATTCTAGCTGCCGTCCCTTTAATCTAACAGTTCAAAATTAGATACGCCTTGTGTAGTTTTGCATGAATATACATAACAAACAAACAAAAGACTGAAATAACATGTGGAGTATGGACTTCGTGAAGGGATGTTTTATGGCAAGTGTAGAGCTAGTTAATAATAGTAAAATTCATCACAATAAAAACACAATTAAATAGATGAAACATAGGTTGACTGTTATATCGTATTCTGTCATATTCTACCTTAAAGAACTGCGTAAGAGATTATTAGAACGCAAAAAGTTTAGTTTTGTAGTTAAGCAAATATACGGAAAAACTATTTAAATTGATAATTTGAAAATAACTGCAATATAAAACGAACAGACAAACGGAAATTTTAAATAATCAGAACATAAAAAATATTTCTATTAATGCCTTAACGGAAGTATTTCATATGCAAAGTTCTTACCATGGAGTGATTGCTGTTGTGTACTGAGACACGTTTTGGTTGGTAATGCCAATAAAAAGTGATTTGCAAAATATGTTGATATCACCAGAGAAAAATGATTTCGTGTAATGTAAATGTGTTATTGGTAAATGTGATATCTGTACCAGACATTTCGCTCTAGCTTATAGAACATGAACCTTATCTTCATTTGATTTCTTAATTCCATATACTTCGCTAGTAAAGTGAGAGTAAGAAACCTGTTACTTATTAACTGTTACTAGACTACTGGGAGAAAGGCCAAATAAGGAGGAGAACTAATAGCTGTCAACATTCTAGTTACATGAGGTAAACATGTTTGTTTTGAATGTCAGTTTCGGTAATTGTGTGTTAAAATTTGAAATTTGTCAATTGTCGGATATACAGAGTATAATACCTATGGTTGCAATGTTTTATCAGGTTAACTACAAGAACTGAGCTCCTGATCTACCTGATAAATACACTGATATTTGATTTGTTGAGCATAACAAGACTGTGGAGCATAAAAAAGATGTTGCAAATGGCCAAAAAATTAATGCTATTTTTTGTTACATGAGGAATATTTACTATACAATCAACTGTAAGTCAGCCAAATTTATATATAAAACTGAAATTACGTCAACAGAAAAGTTGTGGAAGTTTCGTTAATCCAAAGGTTGGCAAAACTTCAAACAAAATTTAAGCTGAATCCACTCTTTGGCGTCATATGGAATATCCGTTATGAAATAAACAGTGTATGAGTTTCATTTAACAACCAATTACTGGACATAAGAGGACACGAGAAAGTGTCGAAAACTGTATACAAATCAATTTAATATTTTTCTGAAATAGTGGTTCCAATTATTATTTCAGATTTTACCCGTTACTGTATATATCTTCTATTTCGTGGCCTCTGTAGGTCTATGATATACCTTTATTCCTGGTTGAAGTTATGGAAAGAAAGATTGTAAAGCTACTCCATGTAGTTTCTGTGTTGCCAAAACTTCAAACACAATTAAAGCTTTTTAATTAAAGTAATTTCTTCGCTGATGGTGAAAGAATTCCCACCGTGAGTGAACAACTTGTTAAAAGTTTGAGTAGGTGATACTCTGTGCCCTTCTCAGATAGATTTAGAGTGAAAATAGTCCAGAATCAACTACGTGAAGAATATGAGAATATTGAACAATGTTACCTACCTGGAACATTTAAGGTTTGTAGATTTCAGTTTCGTCTCCTACCAATGTTTTGTGGGCTCTGTAGGGTCCCACGGTAAGACAGCGGCAAGTCTATGGATTTACAACGCTAAAATAATGAGTTTGATTCCCTTCGGTAGACACAGCAGATAGCCTGATGTGGCTTTGCTATGCAACACACACACATACACGCCTGTGTATATCTGTGATATACCAATATCCCTGGTTGAAGCTATGGAAATGTGAAGCTTAGGAAATGGCTAAGAGCTTCAACTTCAACGCGCTCTATGCAGGTACCGTTAAGTTGACACCTTCAATTCCATCATTAGTGGAAGAATACAAAGTTGCTAAGGGTAAGCTTTTCATGATGTTAAAGAACTCAAAGAATAAGGCCATCGGAGAATATTTCCCTGACTTCAAAACAGGCAGAAAGTGGGATGTAGGAACAGAGGGTGCAGATATAAAAGTAGGCTGGTGATGAAGGAGATTGAAGGAGCAGAGAAAATGGATTGAAGAAGTTTAGGTTGGGAAAGTCAGGTGTGGTTTTCGAAAGGTGACGTGAAAGAACGTAGTAAATATGGTAACAGAGGAATCAAGGAAGATCAAAGAAGAAAGAAGAGTCGCACAGGCAGTATCTCAGGCTCAGCAAGGTCGATGGACGCGTTGGGAACATGTTGCAGATTGCCAATTGACGTGGGGAAACCTTTGGCAGATGGAGTTATCTCGATTTAGCTACTTGCTCATGGCAGTGTGTGCTCAGCACCTTAGTCCAGTTAACTTAGTTAGGTTGAAAATGAGCAAGGTTGAGAAGTGCCAGAGTGTTCTTCTAGGGGGACACTGGTACACATTCTTGCAGGATGTGGGCAAGGACTTGGCAGGTACATATGGAGGCACAATCAGGTCTTGAAGAAACTAGAGTGATATAATAATGGCTGGAGACGGCTTAAATGGGTAATGAAGAAAAACTTTAATATAACTTTAACATGACAGCAAATGTACAACGTTTCGACAAGGTTTTGTCATCATCAGAGTGATATGCTGTTATCACTTTTATGGATGCAGAGGAATATGTAATCGATAGAGTATATATGAAAGTATCGAGTTTATGAAAGAAGGGACGA